GGCTGAGGCAGGAGAATGGCGGGAACCCAGGAGGCGGAGCTTGCAGTGAGCTGAGATCCGGCCACAGCACTCCAGCCTGGGCGACAGAGCGAGACTCCGTCTCAAAAAAATAAAATGAAATAAAATAAAAAAATAAAAAATTAACCAGGCAGGATGGTGAGTGCCTGTAGTCCTAGCTACTCCAGAGGCTGAGGCAGGAGAATCACTTGAGCCCAGGAATTAAAGGCTGCAATGGCCAGGATCCCACAGCACTCCAGCCTGGGTGACAGCAAGACCTGGCTTCCCCAGAAAAAAACAAAAAAAAAAAGCAAGGGAGGGGGATTCACGCCGGCCGGGGTTGTCTGAAATGGGATATCCATGGGGAAAGCGCAGGGATGGGAGAGGCCTCGGCTTCTGGAATGTGGGAGCCAGAAGCTGAGCAGGGTGAGGGCACCCTGGGCCCTTCCAGTGTGTCACTCACCTGAGCTCTCAGGAACCTGGCCTTGTGCCCTCCTCGCCCGCAGTGGCTGAGTGTGGGTGCAATGTGGGGAATGCAGGGGTGTTGTCTGTGCTGAGGGTTTCGTAGGTCCAGTGTGGGAGGGATCTGGAGCTAGGGCTGGACTTAGATATGCTTCCGGAAGGAAGGGGTGGGGTTGGGGGTGGAGGAACTTCTCCATTACCCTCCTTAGTATGCCAGCTGGAGACAAGCTTAGAGTGATCTCCAAAGCCACGACTGGGTTTGGTGTGTAGAAAACAGAAGAATGAAAGGGGAAGGGGCCCAATGGTTTGCTTTTGTTTTTTTTAGCTGTCACGGGGCACCTGATCTGCCCCTGCCAAGCAGGCCAACAGACAAGCTTTTTCTAATTGACCCAGGCAAGAGAAGGGAGGGATTGGAGGAGAAAGATGGGATAGGTAGGACCAGGAAAGGTCACCTACCTGCCAGCTCCAGGCCAGTCTTGAAGGCGCCAGGGGTTCTGGCCCAGTGCAGCCCACAGGACCCCAGCAGCCCATGAACTCCAGGCTCTGACCACAAGGCCAGTCTTGTGTGGGCAGAGTGAAGGGGCAGGAGGGGAGCATCGTATGGATGCATAGAACAAGAAAGAACAAGGACAATGCAGTCCCCTTGCCCTGGGAGCCAGCCCCAGCTTCATGGCTCCCAGGGGACCTCACAGAGCATCAGTAGAGGATCCTAGATGAACCCTGGCAGGTACCTTTCTTTCCCTGGGTTTGAAGGAGGCTCCACAGACAGAGGCCAGAGGAAGTTGAGGCTTGGAAGCCACAGGGCTCTGTGGAAGGAGGGCATCCCCCCATCCTCCTTGTTCTTTGTCCTCACTATTCAAAGTCCAAGGTCAAGCTGGGTGCGAGACAGGTAACCAACCATCTGAGTAAAGGTGAGTCTCCCAAGCCTTCCAAGAGCTGCGTGAGCTCAGAGGCAAGCGGGGAAAGCTGAGGCATGGGGCTTCCAGGCAGAGGAGAAGCTGCTTCCCTGCTAGGGCCACAGGCCCCTCTTCCCTCCTCTGTGCCCTTGAGGAATCCCCGTGACTGGCAGGTCCTCCAGCTACTAGCTCTGCCCCTGCCCCAGCAACCTTCAGGAGGCCCCCTTGACTCAGACTTTGCAATGCACTCCAGTAACAACGGGTCGGACCCACACGGGGTGGCACAGAAAAGAGGCAAGAATTTAATAGAGTGGTAGCAAGTGAATAGAAAATCCCAGGCAGCAGTTTCACATGACCAGAAGAAGGAAACTTGAAATAGCTGCATATACTAAGGGCCAATAAGTCCCTGAAAAATAGGATGAGGACCAAGCTGGCCATGACCAACCAGACACAACATGGCGCCGTATTTGATGTGGGTTTCACCTAGGATCTCATTGTACGATCAGTAACATACGAAACCATACACCCGTCAGCACCAAGACGGCTCCAGGAACACCTGGATTTGGGTGTAAATTGTGGCACCACGGTCTTGAGAAATCTTTACCTTTTCCTGGAATCTTCATGAATATATCCCTCTTTAGTTAAAGAAGCCCATAAAGGTCAGTCCCAAACCTCGTAGGGCATAAGACACTCTCTCGAGGACCCCCACATTCCCCTTCTTGATTGAGTCCTTTTGCTGTGCAAGAAATCTCCCTACATTCATGACTTTCTGACTTGTCCTTAAATTCCTTCTGGCTAAGGTGTCAACAGCCTGAAGACTGATCGAGGTCAATATCCCACCGGTCTTTGAGGACCTCGCCTAGGCCACCAGTATCTGGAGGGGGTTAGGGACACTGAGGATCAGGTCTCCAGCAGGGCTGTCCAGTGTGCCTGCAGAGGCAAGAAGGTTGGTCACAGGCAGCCCAGGGCAGGGAGTTGGGTAGGAGGCCGGAGCCAAAGCCCACTCACGTCTTCTAATTCTGAGTCTTCTATTTCCTTCGTGCCCATCCGGCACAGCCAGATCAGGTCACCCAAAGCAGTGACATCTCATAGCTAAAAAGGCATGGGGCCGAGAGAGATACAGAGTCAGGCATCACAAGCCCCCTCCAGGCTCAGCCCTGAATACCAAGATCAGGACTCGGCTGCCCCGGCCTGGATTGCACAAC